AACAAGGAAATAAAAGGCACACAACCTAGACACATCGAGTAACACTCGAAACGACTCAAAACAAGAAACGAGACAAACAAAGCAAAAGACATGACACACAGGCGTGCACAGGGAGCCTGTTTCACCGGGTATTATTCCCACCCTTTCTTATTTGTGATTCTCACATCACTCGGCTCTCAAGCTCGGTTTTTCTGAAAAAGTCCTCTTCTCACTTTTCCTCTCATCGCACATCTCTCTATTCTTCATTCTCTCATTTTTCATCCCTCCCCTGGGGGTTGATGGACGAACAGCAAACTGTGGGCTCGTGTCCCTAGCATTCTGCTAGATTCTCTTTCTTCTGCTCACAACTAGTGAATTCCTCCCACGGAAAGGTTGCGCTACAACTGGGTGTGTAGCAAATCTGCAACTAACATCAGTTGATGATGCTTTGTTGGGGAGTTTGGACGTGGTAAGATCTGTCCGGATGATGGAGTGGAATATCTTGCCCCATTCTAGTTCGTGCTTCGCACTTTGCTCGATACCTCGTTGCTTGGAGGATGTGAGAACTTTCTGCCCTTTGTTGTGCCCTTTTCTGGCGCTTCGCACTTGGCTTGATACCTCATCGCTTGGAGAATGAGAGAGCTTTCGGCCCCTTTCTGCTAGCTTTAGTTGTGCCTTTTTTGGCAAACATGGTGCCTTTTTTGGCAAGTAGAGTGCCCTTTCTGACAAGTAAGTTGACAACAGGAAAAAGACAGAACACCTGACTCAACTGTGCCCCTAGTTCATCATTTTGACCATTTTTTTTTAAAAAAAAAAAAAAAAAAAAAAAAAAAAAAAAAAAATTGACCAAAATGAGAGTTAGATTAACATACTTGTTCAATTTTCTGATTTAAATCATGCAAGTCAGGCTATGAGCACTGAAAATTTTGCTCTTTTGGGTCCAAGAAATGGTCCAGTTTTGAAAATGGAATACTTTTCGAGAAGATTAGTCAACCTCAGTAAAAATTCTCAAAAACTATTTTCGTAAACGACCACTGCTCAACGAGCATGGGACCTACTCTTGAGATGCGCAACCTCGGATCCATGGCAATGGAAAATTGCCCCTTGTCTGAAGGACACTGCATGGCAACGGAATGTTGCCCCTTGTTTGAAATGGCACCGCGGCGTTCTGAATGGCAACGGAAAGTTGCCCCTTGTTTGGATAGGACCGCAGCGCATTGAATGGCAACGGAAAGTTGCCCCTTGTCTGAATGGCGCCACGACACATTATAATCAGTCCTCGAAGTGATGATTGCAACCGAACTCTCGGATACAGAGAAGGCAAAGATTATCAGAACCATTACATGGACATGATTGAGTTTGAAGTGTTTTACGGCTGGACTTCAGAATGAAGTTGCCTACGTATCCCAAAGATGGGAATCAAGCCTCACGTAGTTCCGGGTTAAGGTACACTCGGGTATTAACCTCTCCTTTTTATGCTCTAACTTTTGCCAAGGCGCCTGTTACAAGTTTTCGACCTTGCGAGCTTTGTTTTTCTTTTCTTTTCAATTCTTTTCTTTTTTTGTTCTTTTCTTTGCATTTTTCTTCATTTTTCTTTTTTTTGTTTTCTTTTTTTTTGCATTTTTTTTTTTTTGTAGCTTCTTTTCTTCTTTTTTGTATTTTTCTCTTGCTCTAACTTTTGCCTGGGTCGCCCTTCCGGGTTTTCGGCCCAGCGAGCCTCTCAAGGGTAAAAAGTGTAACAAGTCCATGCCAAATGGTTTTGAGATCCTGAAATCATCTGAATCCAGGAGAATGGCTGCTGCTTTGCTTTGTAAGCTTCTTCTGATGAGATCTGATCTTCTTGACCTGACTTTGGTGCCTCTTGTTCGAGGGCTGCTTCAAATCTAGCCACACAGGCCTCACATTGTAGTTGACCGTTGAACGTTCTGAATGGGCCCAAGGTTTGAAAGCAAGGACTCAAGTCTCGAGGCTGAGAGCGATCCTAAGCTGCAGAATCTCAAGAGCGATTCCACACTAGTCTTTGCAGGACCGCGCAAAACATTTTGTTTTTGAAAATTTTTAAGGAAGCGACAAATCGCTCGCGCTGAAGATAGTGTAGAACCAATCTGGATCAAGCTAGGATCCTTCTAAGTACTCACGCTAATAAGCATGATTTCATTCATTAAGGGCTTAGCACGCCTCTCTTTCTCTCAAATGATCAAAGTTTTGCAAATCCCAAGGAATTCCTCCCTCTTCGTTTTCACCGCAGTGTTCAAAAAGTTTTGAAAAACTTAGGTCAAATGCAATGATTTTGGGGTGCAGAAGAGTAGGCGAAAAGTAGGCACAGCAAGGCTGCCCCTAGACGAC